TCTGAGCATTCCCTGGAATTTTCCCTTCTCCAGGGGAACATTCCCAGTTCTCCTAGAGCAGAGGGGCTCCAGAATCCTGGAATGGTTTGGGTGGGAAGGGACCTTAAATCCCATCCCATTCCCACCCCATCCATGTTCAGGGACACCTCCTGCTGTCCCAGGTTTATCCAAGCCTTATCCAACCTTGGGTGGTTGTTCCCCCGATGGAAATCCAAGGAAAACATGGACACCACAGTCCCATGGGAATCCTGGCTCCGACGTGGGCGTGAGCTCCCCAAAATGCTGCACCTCACAGGGACCATCCCTGCTCCTGGCAGGAAAAAATCCCAAATTCCCAACATCCACACCAACCTGCAGCCGGCAAATCCCAGAGGATCCAATCCTGAGCCGGAGTCGCTGGTGGAGTTCAGGACATCTCCGTGGCCTCCTCCGGGCTGCCATCCCTGGCTCTGGAATTTTTGGGATGCCCTTGGATCAGCCCTGAGCCCTCTCCCTGTTTCCCGCAGGTTTTTGGGAGAATCCCGGGTGCCGCTCCGGGATGTTCTGGGCTCTCCCAGCCTGGCGGCCTCGTTCAGCCTCCCCCTGCTGGACTCGCGCAAGGAGAGCACCGGGGTGAGTGCCCGGCTCCCAGTCTGGGCCAGTACGAGCCACGGTGGGGCTGGGGGGCTCCCAGTCTGGGCCAGTATGAGCCACAGCAGGGCCAGTTGCGGCTCCCAGTCTGGGCCAGTACAAGCCATGGTATGGCCAGTTTGGGCTCCCAATCTGGGGCCAGTACGAGCCATGGAGGGACCAGCTGGGGCTCCCAGTCTTGGGACCAGTGTGAGCCTGTCCCTCCCAGTTTGATCCCAGTTCTAATCCCTCTCAGTTTGATCCCAGTCCGAATCCCTTCCCTCCCAGTTTGATCCCAGTCTGAATCCTGTCCTTCCCGGTTTGATCCCAGTCTGGTCCCTCCCAGTTTGATCCCAGTCTGAATCCTGTCCTTCCCAGTTTGATCCTAGTCCTAATCCCTCCCATTTTGATCCCGTCCCTCCCAGTTTGACCCCAGTCTAAATCCCTTCCCTCCCAGTTTGATCCCAGTCAGAGCCAATCCCTCCCAGTTTGATCCCAGTCAGAGCCAATCCCTCCCAGTTTGATCCCAGTCTGAATCCTGTCCCTCCCGGTTTGATCCCAGTCCGAATTCCTCCCCTCCCAGTTTGATCCCAGTCAGAGGCAATACCTCCCATTCTGATCTCGGTCTGAATCCCTTCCCTCACAGTTTAATCCCAGTCCTAATTCCTCCCAGTTTGACCCCAATCCGAATCTGTCCCTCCCAGTTTGATCCCAGTCTGATCCTGTCCCTCCCAGTTTGATCCCAGTCTGATCCTGTCCCTCCCAGTTTGATCCCAGTCCGAATCCCTCCCATTTTGATCCCTTCCCTCCCAATTTGATCCCAGTCCGAATCCCTCCCAGTTTGATCCCAGTCCGAATTCCTCCCCTCCCAGTTTGATCCCAGTCTGATCCTGTCCCTCCCAGTTTGATCCCAGTCCGAATCCCGTTGCTCCCAGTTTGATCCCAGTCCGAATCCCTTCCCTCCCAATTTGATCCCAGTCCGAATCCCTTCCCTCCCAGTTTAATCCCAGTCCGAATCCCTTCCCTCCCAGTTTAATCCCAGTCCGAATCCCTTCCCTCCCAGTTTAATCCCAGTCTGAATCCTGTCCCTCCCAGTTAGATCCCAGTCTCTGGAGCTCTCATTCCCTGTTTTCCAGGCCTGCCTGTTCCTGCAGGTTTCCTACCTCCCTCCTCCGGGGGCTCTCCCGCTTTTCCCGGCTCCGGCCCCTCCGGATCCGGCCCCGGCTGCAGCCGAGCTGGACACGGTCACGGGTAACCAAAACCGACCCCTTCCCATCCCGGCCTCTGCAATTCCAAAAATTCAAAATTTAGCATTTTTTTTTTTTTTTTCTGTGCTGACAAGAGTTAACACGCAAAAGATAACTCCGCCCACCCAAAAAAAAAAATTCCAAAAAAATGGAAAGAGTAAATTTAATTTTTTTTCTTTAAATTAAAAATTAAATTTTCCCGAGTTAAAGAAGAAAAGTAAAATATTATGAGCGTATGGGTGAAAAAAATTTGTATGATATCACATATAAAAGAATAGAAAATGGCATATAAAAGAACATATAAATTAATGGAAAATAACATATAAAATAATAGAAAACATACAAAATAATAAAAAACATATAAAATAACATAAAAGAATAGAAAACATATATAAAATAATAGAAAACATATAAAATAACAAAAGAATAGAAAACATATATAAAATAACATATAAATACAAATAAAATATATCAAAATAGATCTAAAATAAAGTAGATATATTTTATAAATGGAAGATATAAAATAAAAATACAATACATAATAAAACCTTCAAAATTTAAGGTTTTAAAGTATATAAAGCGAGATTGAAGTTTTAAGGCAAAATTTTGTCCTTCTTTATTTACCTTCTTCTTTATAAGTCTAAGTAGTATTTTATAATTAATTTATCATTATAATATGAAAATAAATTAAATATTAAGTAATTAATTGCATACGATATATTATATTCGTATATAGAATAAATTATATAAATATTATAAATAATTCTAAAAATTAAATATTATAATATTTATATATTAATAAGCTATATATTACGCACATCAATAATTTATATATTTATAATATTATAGTATTAAATATTATAGTATTAAATATTATAGTATTAAATATAATAATTAATTAAATATTATTTAATTAATTATAATATGTATTTATAGTTAAAAAATTCTGCATTGCAAGCCACAAGGAATTAGTTATTGAGTTAAGAATAAAAATAATTTCAGTGTCATTTTTTAATTAAACTGCCCTTTAAAAGCCTTGCAAATAAAAAAATAAAAGTCTTAATTTTTGACTAGTTAGCTTAAAATAATGTAAAACTCATTATAATACAGATATAAAATAGATAATCCATAGATATTATGATCTGTGTATTTTATCTATAATATAAATAAAAAATAAGAAACTTTTGAGCTGAACCAAAAAAATTCCGTCTCATGCATTTAAGCCCAGCAAAAATGAAAGAAATAAAAAGAAAAGAAATAAAAATGAAAGAAATAAAAAGAAAAGAAATAAAAAAAAATAAAAAAAATTAAATAAATAAATGGAAAGAAATAAAATGAAAATAAATAAATAAAAATAAAACTAAAAAATAAATACATAAAATAAAATAAAATTGGGAACAAATAAAAAGAAAAGAAAGAAAGAAAGAGAAATAAAACTAAAAAATGAATACCTAAAATAAAATTGGGAACAAATGAAAAGAAAGAAAGAAAGAAAGAAAAATAAAACT